GAATGTTAAGTGACTTGTTTAGTCCAAACTGCCTAGCAGTGTAGACTCTACATGGGCTACTGAATTTGTATAAATTTGAAATAAACTGTAAGCCTTTGAACTTTATGGCCTTTCCCAATGGGAAGGAGTAAAAAAAAAAAAAAAAAAAAAAAGGAGTGCAATGTCTTTGCTAACATTGCTCCAGGGAGATTTGGTGAATCTCTTCTGAATTCGGAATCTCTTCTCACTTTGATAAGCAGTACTTTCTCAGCTTTACAACCTATGATCTATATTCACTGCCACTACAAGAGAATGAAAGGAATACAGGGGAGAGAGTCTGGTCACATAGACAAGATAATGATATTTGCCTTAAATATGTGTGATAGATGTAAGACAAGTCTTTCTGTTGCCTCTTCCAAATTGTTCACCTTCCTCTCTGCTTGCTAAGACCAGCTGTGAGATGCTGTTGTGACAAAGACCCCAAATAAGAGCATTTATTCTGGAAGCTCAAAATACTGCCCTGATTCATATTTTCAGGGCACATACATTATTTATATCTCAAATTTCTTCATTTTTTGAAGCTTGTATTTGCAGTATGGGAAGTGAAAAGCACCAGACCTGCAGGTAATAACAGCTGGGTTTGGAACTGAAAAATACCACGTCAAGAAGCCTATTTATTGCTCAATCCCATTATCAGTGCCCCAGGGCCAAGCTGAGGCATGCATCTGGGACAGCAGATTCACATATCTAAAGATGACATGAATGCCCTTATTTCACTCAGGGACCTTCAGTGCAGTCTGGTTTTGCAATAAACCCAGAACCTCCATTAATCCTAACAGAACAGATCATATGTAGCTAGAAAATTTCCTTTCAAAAGAGCAAATGAGCATGACACGCAAAAGCCTGAACTGATTGCAAAAACCCAAAATATCATTAAAAAGTTTCACAGAACCTCACATACCATAAAGTTAGCCCCTCCCTTTTCTAAACACACAGTTGGTTTGTACAAACTTCCCCAAAATAACTTCGGTATTGGGATGTCAGCCATAATCCTGCCTCATACCTGGTTGGACTGAGATCAAATCCTTAAGAAAGACTTTGCAAGACTTTTCAAGGCCAAAGAAACCAAGCATACAGTAATTTTCCAAGCACGGCATAATCCGTGACAAGCAAAATTTGTTACATTTAATTGAAAGAAACAAAAATCAACCAGCAGATCCCATTTACCACCCCAGACAGGCATAAAAACTGATGCCTGGCAGGTGATAAATCTTTCACTCATCTTTGTGTTACCTACTTTTGTTGGCTAAATTGGCTCTTTGGATTGCCCCACCTGAAATTCCTTAGCCTGGCAGTAGTTATGATCACCTTTCACTTTTTCTTTATACTCTGAGCAGTGGGGGCAAATAGTTACCCACACACAAGCCTTTTTTCCAAATCTTGTGCTGACCTGAATTTTCCCCAACTTAAATGCTGCCAAAAAAAAGAGGTTTACTGTGATTTCAGCAGCAGATACAGCCCATCAGTTTCCCATAACATATATGTCAAACATAACACAATTAGTTCTGAAGCATGGAGGGGACCGTAGATCTCAGTAAAACATACCTAGTCTACTAGCAATATGTAGTCACTTTTCAACAGACTGAAGCATTAATTTTCTTTAAAGATTTTTTTTTTAAGTAGTGTTTTATTTGTAGCTCAGCTACCTCAGGAGATAAGTAAAGGACATGATCTCCCTACACAGGATCTTGCTCCACACAACAGGAAATGGCTTCTGCAGCCAGGCCTATTTCAGGATCTCAGCCCAGCATCCAGTCCTCATCTCACGCCGACTTCTCCTACTCTGTGCCCAATTGCATGTTCTTTCCACAAGCCCAGGGATGGCTGAGAATGGAGAGGAAAAAACAACTGCACGAAGCATATAAAGGTAGAACTGTCTCTGAAGGGAATAGACTTTTTACCTTGAAGAGCCTCTGTGGAGAAACTGAAATAAACCTTTTACCAAAGGACGCTTATGCTCTGAATGGTTCAATTGTCTGAAAGCAAATGGAATAGGGTAGGGAGATGGGAGCCACAAAACCAGAAGCCTATGCAGTACAGCAGCCATGGTTTTTGCAAGACATTTCTTATCAAACAAAGCACTTCAGGAGTGGTTTGAAATGAACTAAGTACTTCAAGAGAAACTACAATTTTGTCTGTACACAGAAGTTCTACTATACTGATGTAAATAAAAAAGTGCAATCCCATCCAAGTCTGGTTGCAGTGATAAAGGTATGAGGCTATTCATACTTCTATAGCACAGTCTGATATGGAAAGAGGAATAATTTTCCCAGGAAAAATTACATCTATATGTAGGCGTATAGGGCTGTATTATATTACCATAACTATGCTAGTAAAAGAAAAATTACAACTCTAAATAACACAGCAATGCTGGTTTCAAGACCATACACAGAGTAGGTATTCACTTCAATGAGGCTCTGGGCCTCCTGTGTGGTTCCATTTCCTGCTTCCTCACAGTAGCACTGGGACTTTATGCCTTCTCAGCAACATATTTTGACTTCTCTCTGACTCTCCTGCCCACACAGTGTATACAAGAAGTTAAACTTGCTTCCTCAGTTTCTATAGATCAGTGATAAGTGTGAAACCTATTTCTCAGATACTCTGGACAAACAAGGCCCTATACCCTTCTGGGCTTTCACAGCAGTTGCCAGGACAGCTTTGTGATTCAGGTTTTAGGAGTGAAGTCCAGCTGAGCTACTTGCAGACTGGTAAAATGCTCATGGAAACTACTGAATGACAAGGATGAAGCTTTCAAAACAGAGTTCGTCTGTTCTTGAAAGGACATAACACCGCATCCTCCAAAAAGCACAGGTTTTTACTCAGGCTCTTGGCCAAGAACTCTCAGAATAACCAATCTGTGTTTTCTTTATACCTCCATTGCTAGTGAGTTGTGCGCTTGCCTCAGTAGAGTACAAATCTTTTTCTGTCAGACTCATTTCACAGAAAGAAAAGAAAGCCTGTGTTAGAAAACCCAGGTTCCTTGGAGCAGGAACAAATACATTCTGGAGCTGAGTCCTTCAACACGCACACTAAAATGCTCGCTGACCCCAGCTGCTGGCCCTGCCTCTCTCAGAGCCTGTGGGACAGCTAAGCTCCACGTGAAACAGCTCCAGGGGTTTATGGCTCCCTGACTGAGGTAACCCAAAATTAGCACTAGTTTAATATGTCAGCCTACAGGCTGCAGTGGTTCAGGAGCAGCTTCGTGTGCAATTCCACAACCTCTGTGAAGGGACCAAGTGGAAAACTAACTGGAGGCACTTATTGATTTAGCTGTCCACCCTTAATTAACTTATACCGGTGCCCCAATATTACTGGGATAAAATATGGATCAACCCTGAACTTAGGGTTAGTTCTAAATGACAGGTTAAATCTTGAACTAGACCCTTGCAAAGCTCCTTGTTTTTCTCTCTGACAGCTCACATTTCAGTTTGTGGTGTGCTTGTTGGAATGACAGCCTTTTCCACATTTAATTGCATACTGAAATGAGCAGCTGTGTGAGTGATTTGTCAGACAGTCCTGGGTGGGTGGGACCCTGTAATAACCATCTCTGCTGTGCTGTGCTCCGTAATAGCATGGGGGATTTAGTAGTGTTGACCCAGAGGTTTCCCTACACAGTGCAGTGTACCTCAGTAGTTTGAAGCAGGACCACTGAAACTAAGTTTTGTCATACCAGGATGCATTTATGAAAAGTTTATTAACTAACCATTAATAGATCCTTAATAGTTACAGATTATTCAAATAGAGATAGTTGCTTAAAGGTATCCAAAACAGGTGGTGTAAGTGGGTTTTACAGTCTAAAAGCAATTCAGTGCTTATAATGTATGTGGGGGTTGCAAAAACCCAGTATGTATCCATGTACTATAACAGTATGTCACTAAATCACAGCTTTCATTTAATAAAGTAATGTCTCTTGCTGTTACAGTTCTGAAAAAATCTGGCAATGTGAACAGAATGTAACTAAGGCAGAGATGGCAAAGAAATGCCTGGAACAGCAGCTCTGAGGGGCATGAACGGCGCTTGTCAGCACCCCATCAAACAGTGATGACTTCAGTGTCAACATTTTAAACAAACCCTCTCTTACTTGGGGAAAGAGCGTGATGGATGGGCACATTATTGTTGCATTTGTCCAAAGTCAGAGGTTATACTACTTACAGCAATCTCAATTAAAAGGCAGCGCTACAATATTCAACAGAGCCCAAGGGCAAATTATAAGAGATCCAAATGCATAGAGACACTGTCCTGCTTCCAGCATCTTGCGCTTTACTAAGAGCAGCATCTCTTCCTCTGACCATATAGTCAGGACTTGGGAACTTTTGGAAGGATATCACTGTCTTTTTTTCCCGACTAGACTCTGCTGATAGCACACACTGTTCTTAATCAGAAATGCAGTCATACCTATTAGGCATTTCATACCTATTAGGCATTAACTCTTCATAAATTAATAAACGCACTCCTCACATGATGTGCTCTCAGTGTATATATACATGTGTGTGTAGCTGCAATATTTGCATTTATTCAGGAGTGAGTAAATTCTCTTTTGTTTGTTTCAATGTGAGTAAATTCAGCTTGGGTCAGAGTCATGCTGGGTGCGCCTTTTGTATTTGTAGAAATCTTTTGGCTACCCCTCCTTGGGACTGGCATTGCACAAGGTGGTTTTTGAGCATCCATCTGCTTTTCCGCACATTTTGGCTTCAAAGTTAAAACAGGAGATACGGCGCTCATTAGTGGCAATCAGTGCACTGTTCAGTGCTCCTACGGTCTCTGTAAAAGCAACCTGTCCCAGCTGAACTCAAAACGGAAATAGGAATTTCAGATGAGATGTGAGAACAAGGGAGTGCCTTATGCTACAGCCAGCTTAAGTATTAGACACATTTCGTAAGCAAGGAGTCCAGCCAACCCTATCACTGCACTTTTATAAAACTGACCTCAGTCAGTCCCCACTGAGATGTCTCTATGTGACCTGCTCTCAGGGCTGCTAGAGAGAATCTCTTGAAGCTTCTTGTTAAGTTCTTTAGAAGAGACATGGCACAAACTGGACTTCTGATTTTTCTACTCATAAGCATACTACTGTTGGATCAGACCATCAGCCAGGCTTCCAAATTCAAAGCCAGGAAGCACAGCAAACGTAGAGTGAAAGGTACTGGGTTTTAACTGGGAGGAGGGATAGAAGCTTAAAGACTGCACAAGTTTATTATGTACTTAAGTAATATTGCATAAACCAGAAACTAACATTGTACAAATGCTTAGTAACAACTGACAGTTGAGTCTATATTATATCTGTCTTTGAAATATTTTTATGTGAGTTAGCGAAACTAAAAATAAAGTGGTAGAATGAGTTGTGGAAATAGAGTTGTATAAAAATTGTAAATATATTGCTCTTTTATATCTGTTCCTCTCTGTTGACATTATTTAGGACTCAGAGGTACAGTTGAGAGGGACTCTGGCCAATCATTCTTAGTTATGTAGTTATATTGACTAAGGTCAGAAGAATGGAAATTTATGTACATATGGTGGAAATGGAATAAAATACTCAGTCTCTGAGGGTTATTGTTCAGGTTTCTGTACCATTTCCTAATTTTAACAGAATGTCTGACTAATATTTGTCGAATATTACTTTACCTGTGTGACAAGTACTGTGAAATGGCAAGTCAAACTAATGAAAAAGAATTAGCAGAAAAAGGTAAAGCATAAATTCCCAGAGCAAAGCTTACAGAGCAAATAAAAACCCGCTGAACGTTGTTTGGAAATGTCTGTGTATTTAATTTAAAGACTTATTTCTAATAAAAGAGGGTATGATGGAGGTTACACTGACAGCAAATATTTAAACTCTTAGTCAATGAAAAAAGCACAGCTTAGATAAAACCGTTGTACAAAATGATGACACTACTCTGGCGCTGTACAGTTATATATGTACTTCTCCTTTTGAATCTCTACAGTTCTTAGCATGGTGTCCTCAGGACAGGCTGCTTATACATTTGGTTTGCCAGCACATTCATCTGTCAACCTTCCACTGCTTTTGAGCTTGAAACAATTTGGCAGAACTTTTATGAAGGGATGTGGCGGGGGGGAAGAAAAAAAAAAAACCAAAAAACAAAAGAGAGAGATCTGCATTAGTGTCTCACTATGAAAAGACTGCACCAGGAGCTCAGCTTGTTCTGCTTTTTGCCTCTTTTGAAGCAGATGGGGGACGTGGAGAGGCTACTGTGAACTAGGAATGACAGGGAGAAGCATGGATTGAGAAACTGGGAGTCCTGCCTTGGGAAGCATGGAGTCACACAGGACAGCTGGGGGCATCCCCGCAGGCAGTAGGGAGGATGGAGAAGAGATGAGCTTTCTGGGGTGCAGCTGAAGGATTAGGTGATGTAACACAGATCTGCAGGAACTGTGGTTTTGTTAGTTCTGCTACATGTGAAAGAACTTATTTATTCCTCATGTTCATCACTGTGGCTTCTGGAAGGCCTGGTTACTGCTGCAATCATATTGTCATCTTGTGCAATGGAAACATGCCTGCTCATTGTTGGATGGTGGTGGGATATTATAAAGATTAAGAAAAAAGAATGGAAAAGAGGACATGAAAATGGAGTTAACGCGCAAATTAGCTTTTTTTCTCGTCCCACCATCTTCTTGGTGCTTTTCTAAGTGCTACAAAATGGTGATTCAGACTGAGTTTCTTTGACTCGAATCACCAGGCCCTCCCTGTACTGACAGAGAGAGGAAGGCTCCTCCTAGAGAGGGGAAATTGCAGTTCAGCAAGCTTGTTTGCATACATTCAGGCTGTGAAGTTGGATTATATTAGTTCTACCTCGCTGTGTTAAAACAAGAGCTGTGTGAAACTTTCATGCTCACAGAAATAATGTTTCTTTGAATAAACACAACTTGTGTCCTGGCATGCTAAATAACTATTTGCTGCTACAATCCATGGATTTCAAACAGTTACTAGGATACAGTCCAACTGAAAATGAGATTGAAACTATGAGGGTAAGAGGTAAAGGTGGATTCCTCCTGTTTCTTTATATGAGTCCTACAGGAATCCTTTCACTAAGGAAAAATCTTTAAAAGAAATCAAAGCATCTCAGCAATCCAGAATCCCACGCTATTTTGAATCACCTTTTAACATATAATATTTAAATATTTTTTTGCTTGCATATTTGTTGATTTCTCTGTGTTTCTTTTATTTAAGAAAAAGATGACCTAAAGACCCAGATTGACAAATTGTGGCGAGAAGTAAATGCTCTGAAAGAAATGCAGGCACTTCAGACAGGTAAAGCAGCTTCCACTGGTCAATGGCTTCCACAAGTTATCACTGCCTTCCTTCTCTCCTTCACTCCCATCCTTCTCTTTAATAGGGATTCCTCACTGAGAAATACAACTCTTTAAAAGCATAACGCCATAGCTGTAAGGGTGAGACAAACGTGGAAGGAAGCATTCAAGTAAAATCAAGTCTGAACTAATGGTGTTCAAGTGATGATTCTTCACTAAGAGCAAGAATTAATCTGGAGCAAGAACTGCTTTTGTCTTTGCTACGCACTACCCCAAGCTGTGATTTTAGTATAATCAGACAAAGGCAACAGTGAGGGTTGCTGGGTTTGAGAGGTTAGATGGTCAAGGAGCTAGGTCCACAGCTTTGGTATGAACATGGGCTAAGTATCAAAGCAAAAATATTAATGGAAAAGGCTGAGAATACCCCCAAAAGGAAGCTAAAAAGACTGAGGCTTTTTAAAGTCTGCACTTTGCAACATTCAAACGTGAACATTGCCATAAAACTTCAAAGTAATACCCACTGTGAGTTCAGAAATATCCCGTATCAATATGCAGAGTCCTTTAAGTATTTAAACAGCCAGATGGAAATTTCCAAACAAAATAAGAAGGGTAAATACACAGGCACCTACTAGACAGTTGTGCTTTTTCACAGCTGTTGACACAAACCTTGGCATTTAAGCATGTACAAGAGGACACTACAGAGGAAATGACATCATTCACATGAAACAGAATATATTTTCCTCAGGGATGGTAATATCTGAGTTGTCCTGTTTTACATCTTGGGTTACATAGAGGTTTTTGAGCTTTACAAAATATTTTTATTTTAAATTTCTTATAAGAAGACTTTAGAAGTTTCTAAAAAGAGGGAGCCTGTGCTAGACAAGTAACTCTTGTTTAAAAGTAATTCTTGTATTGCTTCCAGGAGGAGCTTGAGAGCAAGCATGCAGTGGCTTAGAAATGAAACCAGAGCCAGGAGATCTTCTATCCTCAAAACTTATTTTGAGATATATTCTAAATTCAGAACCCACACTCTTCAATTGGATTCTAAATTTGGCAAAAAGAGATCTATCACCCCTCTAGCTCCAACTGCGTTTATTAATGTCTCTATGATACTTGAAAAAGGAGTTGCTTCCAAGACACACATTACAATCTGATTTCCTCTTTCGCTTGATTTTCCTAGGTCTCCTTTCTACCTACCGTGAAACGTTGCCATATGCCATTTAGCAACACATACTTTCTCCCTAAAGAGACCCAGTCTCCATCATTACTGCAGCATTGTTGAAGTAGATAAAGTCTCTCTGATCTTTCCCATGAATGTAAATTTGTTAAAGTATTCAACATTTAGCAAATATGGTCATCACTTTGGGCATTAGCAGTTGGAAAGTATAAAATTTTAAGTATAAGCCCAAATATAAAATGATGACCCTGAAAATGCAGCTAAGGAATGCAATGAATACTACAACTGGAAATACTAAAAAACTGAGACATATAGGATATGGTCCAAAGTGGATTTCCATATCCTGTTGATCAGATACATAATTACTTTTTTTTACAAGAACAGATGATAGGAATTAGAAACAGATTATAGAAAACATCAGGACAGAAGATGTTCATATTGTTTCATGACATACTTCTAATATAAGTACAAGATGAATTCAAGCATTAAATGGAATAATCTGAAAGTAGGCACATGCAGGATTGTAAAAATAATTGTCATGGGAGGTTTATTCAAGACCTTTGCTACCTTCCTCAGCTCAGAAGGAACACTCCTTCGAGGGGAGTTCTCTTTCTGCAAGTAGTTTTCTTGGGAGAATCCGTTTTCCACAGAGCTGCATTAGGAGAGCTGGAAAGTTTAAGGAAGGGGAGTTCTCTTTCTGTAAGTAGTAGCTGCATTAGGAGAGCTGGAAAGTTTAAGGATTCACTCCTGCAAGCCTGCCCGCACAGACCTTGGGCTGGAAGAACTCCGAGAGCGGTTCTACAAGGCAATTCCAGTTACAGAGCATATGCCAAATTAATATTCTAGTACATTTGGACTTTACATCAAGACTTTCCCATTCCAATGGAACTAAAAGCAAACAGATTTATAAATGCAAATGTTTAGATTATTTGGTTTAGATTGTCATGCAAGCACAGCAATATGTGTACACTTTAAAAAAGTGTTTATAGATCTAAGTCACTTTACCTCATTTGAATTTAGAGTTTGAAGGGATAGACTTTGCTGGAAAGACCAGAAATTAAGAACTAAAGAGGCAAATGGGTACTCTACTGCAGTTGGAAATATACTTCTATCATTCATCCAGACAGAGATTTGAATTATGAATTTCAAATCAGTGCTTTTCTGCTGAGCAGGGCACATCTTTTTCTGACCTGCCTTTGTTTGCTAGGAACTGGGTTTGGTCAATGCATAAAACTTTACTTTTCTTTGGCACTTAAATATCATCTCTTTGCTATAAAGCCAAGTAGAGATTTCCTGATGACCAATTCAGATCTGCCAGCAATACAAACATCCATACCTCATCCATTTCATCAGTTTTAAGACTGATGAAATAAGGTAAAAATATGTGAAAGAAGGACTATTTGCTAAAGGAAGATATATGATACACTGACAACAAGCCTGGGTTATATTTTAGCATTCTGAAACAACAAAATAAAAAAAACCTCGAGAGAATTACATTGCTGAAGGGAATCTGAGGCTCAAGAACCTGAGGTTTATCAGCATAAACACAGGAAAGATTCTCCAAAGCACGTTATGGTGTTAAGATCACAGCTATGTCTGTCCTTCCTCTTAAATGGCCTCTTCTCTGGAGCAGCTTTATAGGAGCACGCTCTGCTTTTAGCCATCCCTTGTAGTGGGAAGGTGCTTTACAGAGTACCTGTGAGCAGTCTGTGCAGGCTTCCCAAAGGCACACTAACATACAAGGTCCTACATGAACAGGAGGAATGGCAGGGAAGCCTGATCTTTCTGTTACTTTCAGGCCGACTCTATGGTGCCAAGAGCCTTTCACTTGCTGACGGAGTTGTCTGCTTAAATTTCCAACATGCCTTTAGGAAATTATCGTTTTAGGTAACATTATTCAAAGCTATAGCCTTCCCAACATGCCATTAGGAAATTATTGTTTTAGGTAACATTATTCAAAGCTATAGCCCAAGCTTTTACTAAACACGAAAACCAATATCTATTCACAGTCTGTCTCCGTGGGACAAAGGCCCATAAGAAGTGCTACCTCGTATCAGAAGTCGCCAAACATTTTCATGAAGCCAATGAAGACTGCATAGCCAAGGGAGGGACACTGGCTATACCAAGGAATAATGACGAAACAAACATTCTTCGAGATTATGGCAAGAAAAGTATGCCTAGAGTGTCTGAGTTTTGGTTGGGTGTCAATGACATGATAAATGAAGGGAAATTTGTTGATGTCAATGGCATGGCTCTACAGTACTTCAATTGGGATCGTGCCCAACCGAATGGGGGGAAGCGGGAAAACTGTGTCTTTTTTTCTCAGTCATCACAAGGCAAATGGGTGGATGAAGTCTGCCGTACTGCCAAAAGATATATTTGTGAATTTCTGATCCCATAATTACATATTCAAGTAACCATGACCATGTTTTGGGTTATTAACAGGCAGCTTTCTTGCTAATAACCCCTCCTGCTTGGACAGTGGCAAGTTAGAAATATCCATCATCTGCATTGTACTCTTTCCTGAAACAGACATTTTCTCTATTAATTTATTTTCTATTCAGATGCTAAAATATTATGTTTAGTGAGTGCTCTTATTATGTACAGGAATATACATTATGTTTTGACTTACATTGTATCGTATTTTTGGCATATTATTTCAGCCTGATGTTCGGGTTGCTCGAATTCACCTTCTATTTCTGCACTTTGTATCTCCATGGTAGGGTAGTATTTACTTGAACTCAGAACTCTAGTGAATCTATTGAAAGTTTACAAAAGATTGCTGTATGGTGACATGTGCAAATATAAGGTGCAGGGATCCTTTCAGTTCTAGTGTTTAAGAGGGACCTTGGGGATTATGTGAGCTCCTGTGAAAAATCACCATCATCCTTATAGAGTTTAACAGAATGGATCTGTGACCAAGAGTTTTACTGATGGGTTAAGAAAGCCACACGAAACAGAAAAATCTGATGTCAATTTTTAAACTACATGGAGTTAAAAGTGATACAGTGCTAGAAAGTGGGGGAAGTAGTTGTTCTAAAACATCACTTAGCGTAAACATGTTTGTTTCTAAATGTCTCAATTATGGTAAAATATTAGATGTTATTTGGAAGATTTCCATAGAAGAAATCAACCTTCAAGAAATACAAAAAATCAACTCTATAAGATGTGCAAAAGCCTTCTTCCTGCAGGATCAGGAAGAGGCTTTATTGTTCAGACAATAATGCTGCCTTAAAGCACAAGTAGAGAGGGAGGATCCCTTTTCTGGGCACATCACTGCTCATTCCCCTCTCTCCACATGGCAGGCAGCAGGCCTGATTGGCACAAAGGAGTGGGGCCAAACCATGGCTCGTTTGGCCACCTGCAAATTTTCCCAATTTAACACCTGATATTTGAAAATGGAGTAAAATGCGCTGGTTATTTTTTTTGCTGTTCTTAACCTCACAATAGAGATTTGTCTTCATGTTATAAATGGCAGTTTCTCTCTTGTGTAAAGGAATTTCATTTAAATATTTGAATATATTGCTGCTTGGAGGTTAATTCCTATTTTTAATCTTTTAGTTGTGCAAGATTTTCTTAAATTACACAATAAATTTGCAATTACTGGTATATAATTGTAGTTGTGTTTTTGACAGCTTATGCATCCATCTGAAGGCTGTTCTTTCCCAGGACTTTTCTTGAGGATTCAAAAGGGGTACCGTCTTTGGGCACATTATATTATGCTTTTTCTTTACTAGTGTATGTACATGCCACAGGACAAATTTTGGATCCCTGCTTGCCTAAGTGCTGTGTGAGATCCAACTGTTCAACACACCACTAATGTATTGTAAATAATTTCAGTTTCCAACACTTTGTATTTGTAAAATAGGCCTAATTCTGAATTCTCTCACTTAGCTCCTGAGTTAAAATAAAGGAGCAAGAAGTCCCCAAATATTTTCTATTTTCTTTCAAAATCTACCAAATTTTGCTAAGGTTGGGATCAATATTCCTTTTACTTGCATTTTAACATGATTAAAAGTCTGCAGTAATTTTGTATGGCTTCTTTACTCCTGGCTTGTCTGAAATAGTTCAGTATCTCAGCATATCCCTACAGCTACAGTCAAACTGAAAATTCACCACAAATTTCAGAACTTGTCTATCTTCGAGGAGTTTATAAATTTATGTCTTAATCTATTTCAGCCAAGCTGAAAGCTGTACACAGGAATTGAAAACATTTATAGGTATTATTGGTGGATGTTTATTAACTGGTGGATACAGATACCAGAGAAAAAAAAACCTATGTGATTTACTGCACTAAGACAGACCTCACCGTACAGAATCAGTAATCAATTTGAAGATTCCCAGTAGAGTGCTTAGTTAAGAAATGACTGTATGTATCATGGAGGGAGCCCGTTTGCACACTGGAGAGCCATCACAGTTCAGGTGGGAATTGCTTGGGTGCCTGGGAATTCAACAGGACACACGACAGCAGCTTCTATACACATTAATGCAAAAGCAACAACAGAAAAAGCTCCAACACTCACACCTAGTGGTGTAACAGGAGAATGCAGAGTTTACGAAGTTTAAAGTGCAACTTAAGTGTGGTTACTATAACAAATACGGCTTCTAGTTGCTTGCTAAAGAAAAAAGGTCAAACCTGGCATGTCCAAGCATCTACTAGCATCTTTGCAAGAAAAAATTCATGGGGAATATAAAGCTCAAAGTAGAGCAGTTTAGAGTGGAAGGAAGTTACAATTCAAAGCCAATCCCAGAGCTAGCCTTACGTCCTTGTATGTAAGCTCAGTACTTTTATTTACTGGTATTTTCACCCTTTTCACCTTTCTGTCTTGACTTTTACTCCTTCCATATTTTTCTCTCTCTATATAGAAATATATATATGTTTGCTTTGGGGATGTATTCACTAGTGAATTCCCTAGTGAATTCACACCCCTCAGTCCATTCAGGGTGCAAAGGCCTGATCTGCAAACTATTGAAGGAAAAGGACTATTTTTCAAGTTACTTCAAACAGACTTTGGGTCAAAACAGGAATTTGTCATTCCTCTTCTATTTTTACTGGCTGTCACCCTGGTTTCATTTCTGGAGGTGTTTAAACTCAGACATAAGCTCAAGAAGGCAAGAGGCAGAGAAAACCCTGATAATTTTCCTGCGATTTCCCAGCCCCAAAGAGGTGCGAATCCTCAGTGGGCTAAGGGGCTAAGGGGCTGCCTCTGCAGCAAGTCATTTTGTCTTCCAGCACAGCAGCGTTCGTGAGCTCTGGCTGCCCCAAATACCAGTGCCATCTGCTACATCACTGATGTCCCTTGACGGTGTCCGCTCAGGAATCTCCACTGTGAAAGCGGCTCTCCTGCCTGCTGTGGTGGGACCCAAAGGGGTTTTCGGGGGAAGCCGCTGCGTGCTGGAGGAGCCGTTTCCACCCTGCTTTCGCTTCCTCCCTGCACGCACAGCACTTCCCCGCCCACCGGCCGGCACCTCCCGGGGCACAGAGCCGCATCCCGGGGCATCAGGACCTGCCGGTCCGGGAGGCGCAAAATTCCACATTCCGCTACTACCTGAGCTTTTATTTTATGCTATTTTTATTTTTTTAGGTGAATTTTTTGCCCAGCAGCGATGGGCCGGGCCGGGCGGCGCTGGGCGGGGCGCTGTCCGCCGCTCCCGGTGCTGAAGCTGCCCGCGGAAGAGGCGGGAAGCGCTTCTCCGCCGAGTCCCCCGCCGGGCGCCGCGGATTTGAAACGCGTAGTATTTGAGGACAATTTCTTTAAGTTTTGAGGGTAGCCTTTGTCAGTTTTTTGCTGAGCTGGGGTTAGTGTGCAATATCAGGGGCATTGCTCTTCTGTGAGATGTCGTTCAAGACATCTAGAAAATCAGTTGAAACGTGGTTTTGATCACAGTTTCTGTCTAGACAAAAAGCTATTTACTGTGTATTAAATATGTTGGTGGGAAAGTGAATCCCTGCTAATCCTGCTGTCTGCTTGTGGAGGAATGTAGGGCACAAGGAGTATAAGAAAGAGGAGAAAGAGTTGTGGGACTCTTGAGAAAGAAGAGAGGTAAGGATTAAAAAAGCAAGCTGCTGTCTTGGTGCAGAATCAGAAGTGCCTGGCAGCTGCAGAATGAGCCCTTTTCAAAAGGTGACCAATTTATTTAATTTTTCCCTATATGTAATCAGCGTTACTTATTCTAACTTAAAGTATTAGCATGTCCTGTGCTCAAGGTCTTCTTGTGTACATGGTAAAATAAAGCATCTGTTCCAAAAAGGTTCCAGTCTGGATAAGGGAAGGTTATTATCCCCATTTTACAAAGGGGAAGCTGAAGCATTAAGAAATTAAGGATTGAAATAAAGCATCACCGAGCAAGGAAAAGAGAATGAAATCTTCTGGACCCAGTACCTCACCACCAGGTTATCTTTCTGTCCCAAGAGTCAGATCTGGGCTGTGGGATGAGTTATAACAAACATATCCCTCTGTCCTGAGCCCGGCAGCTGGGGATGGGGCATGTGTAGGAGCAGCCCAGGGACTGGCCAGGCAGAAGGATCCGGGTGCCAGAAAGCAAAGATGGCAACTGGGAGAGTGAGGAGGGCAAGGACCGTCCCTGCCAGAACTACCCCCTCCTCTGACAGAAACCCTAAATTTCCCTCCAGTGAAATTAACTTTATTTTTGCTTCTTGGGTCAGGTAATGCTCTGCCAAGCATTCAACCGATAAATACTGTATTTCGTATTTACTCCACTACATCTAGAGTAATTATGTTAGTGTGCACTACGTGATTAGTGTAGCCAATAATGAGTTAATGTTGAACTGCTCTATAAATCTTACATGCTGTTAAACTAATTATCATCTAATATATTTAGCTGAGCAATCAGTCCTAGCTAGCTAAAGCAATGTGAAAAATATTGAGATTAAAAGCATGAAACAAACTGTGGCTCGTACCTAATTAGGCAGAGAACAATATGGTGAAGTGCAAACACGGATACTGCAGGTGACTTCATTTTGGGGAAACCTGTCCAGGTTTGAGAAGTTACTATTCAGTTAATTTCGCTATATCTCTGCTGAAGACTGAGATATTTTTGACTTGGTTCAAATCTGTATTGAATATTTATAATGTTACAATTCTAATTGGTTAAAAAAATGGAAAGAAAACTACTTCTCTTCCTATTGCAAATACATTTCATACATGCTACACAAAGTTACACCTTTTCCTATAAAAATATGGCTAAGGCAAGGATTTCAGGCTGTGCAGTCTGCAGTCTCTAGGCAAAATTCTGTTGGTGCACTGGATGAGAAACAGCTTCCTCTGTTCCGAGCACCAAGCTCAGAGGTTCAAACATTATCTTCCAAGATATTTACTCATGCCTAACTTTATCTTGCTCTGGAGCTATTGACATTATCAACCCACTCTTATTGTTAATCACCACAGGTATTACCTGCAACCACCTAGTATCTTATTTTGCTGATTAAAACACAACATTTGCTAGAACATTATCAACCCACTCTTATTGTTAATCACCATAGGTATTACCTGCAACCATCTAGTATGTTCTTTTGCTGATTAAAACACAACATTTGCTAGAATATTGCTTACTAAGAATCACTGTAACCATTTTGGAGCATTATAAAAGATAGCTAAAAGGCATTGTTAAGAAGGTCTTTGGCCACCATAAATCCTATATTTCATAAAACCCGTTGTGTAGAAACAGTTATGTGAATGTTGCATAGTCTCCAGTTCATGAAAACTTTTCTATGCAAAGACCACAGTAGAATTTCTCCAGTACTTTAAATGAAGTTGAATCCTAGCTGCTTAATCTCCTAGGCTGCATCCCCTGTCTATAAAACAGAACATACATAACTACTTCAAAGAGTTATCAGGTGCAAAATTTTACAAATACTGCTGCGTTACTTGGAGATCTTTCTAAAGAATTGGGAGGTGTGTTTAGTCTGGCCAAGGGATCTTTCAAAAAAGCTGTAATGGTTTTGTTTATGTTTTCTTGTAACTTATTCCTAATGAGTTTAACTGACACAGGACTACAAAACCATCTTTGGCTTTCTTTTGTATATTCTGCTGTTAAACAGAAGACAATGGGCTTACAGGG